AGCCTATGGCAAGTGTAGCCTATGGCAAGTGTAGCCTATGGCAAGTGTAGCCTATGGCAAGTGTAGCCTATGGCAAGTGTAGCCTATGGCAATGTTGCCACAGCTTTTCTACAAGAGCGTAGTGGATCTCCCCAACCTCCCTCCTCCTATCACAGCTGTTTAGGATTTACATTAAAAAAAATACAGTAACAGTTGATAATCTTTGATTTTAGGTAAGTTTGTGGTTTGGGTTTTTGTTTGTTTGTATTGTTTCGTTTTTTTTTAACTCTTAGAAAAAAGAAAGTATCCTGTCGTGCTCACTCTCCAGATATGCACATACAGTCCTATGATAACTCTTGGACAAGTTGAACTGGTGATGGTGACTAAGCCAGCATGGTGACATGCTGCTTCTGTTGTGGTTTCTGTGCTGACTTTAGATTTCAAAAAGGAGATGACACTTCAGCCAGGGCACTTGGCAGATGAATTTTATTTGTATTCAGACCCTCCAAATAAACAGGTCCCTGTCACACAGGGACCTTGATTGTGTTTGGGTGCCATCTGATGCTTCTTGTTGAGTGGGACAGCTTTGGGAAGTCCTCCACAGTTTGGTTGTATCTGCTGCTGTCCCCTTGTCTCAGTGTGGGATTTCAGGGATCTAAGGTCCCTGGTCTTGCTGCTGATTTTCTGTAGACATTGGCCTTGTGGGCCCCTTTCCTTGGACAAGTCCATCTTTGCAAGGCAGCAGACTTGGCTTCATGGCAGTTGTAGTTATGCCCTGTTCTCAGGGGGCAGTTGGAATATTTTACAAGTCCTCCACACTAACACACTTCAGTACTCTGATTAGCCTTTGGCAGCCTTCTGAGGACCTTAGAAAGAGCTGGTTCCAATACAAAAGTAATTTGATGTCATAGAGTTAAATCATGTGGAGCTTTGGTAGTCTGATTAGCCTTTGGCAGCCTTCTGAGGACCTTAGAAAGAGCTGGTTCCATTATAGAGGTAATTTGGTGTCACAGAGTTAAATCATGTGGGACATGGAGTTGTGCTTGCTTTTTTGTCCAGTCTTCTGTCTACTCCTGTTTCTT